CTTCAGCTCAAGGCTAGTGCTCTACCACTTGAGCCACAGTGCCACTTCTGGCTTTTTTCTTTTTGCTTATGTGGTGCTGAGGAATTGAACCCAGGACCTCAGGCATGCAAGGCAAGCGCTCTACCACTGAGCCACCTTCCCAGTCCTTGGGATAAAGGAGGATCTTTTGAAATGTAAGATTTGTCTTAAACTGATTTCCTTTCAAAATGGACTTAAGAACACATCTCAGATTGTTTAAGAAATAGAAGGGGGTGCAGGTATATGTTGAGATTACTTGTGTACTGATAATTTTATTTCAAAGACATCTTATGTAAATACAGTTCATTTTATTCAAACTAGCCAATCAGCAGGTTATGAGCCAGAGCTCAACCAATCCGAGCAGAGGGGCAGGGCCTGCTGTGTTAAGGATACATAATGGAGCAGCCTCCCAGCTGTGTGTGCCTGCTTGCCAGAGTTTTGTCTGATGGCATACTCTTCTGCAGAAGTACTTTGCCTTGCTGAGACAATTCTTTATCTTCGTGTCTATCATTGTGACTCCAGTGGTTCTGGGAGTGTATTAGTAACACTACTAACCCTTTAGACACTTAATAGCTATCTATATTAATGATTGTCACAACACTTCGATGCTCATGTTCAAGCAGCATCCCATCCCAGACTCGTGGCTAATGGTGTAATGTCCCTCCATCATTCACCCCACAGTGTCTCGTGGGCATTTATCATCTCACCATCACAGGGAAAAGAACACATGGACTATATTCAACAATTTTATTATTGGTTAGTATGCTGTTACTGTGCTTAATTTAGGAATTCCATTTTATCATAATTAGGGGTGTTATGGGGAAAGCATGTTACACCTACGTTCAGTACTGTCTTGTGGTTTCGGCATCTACTGGGTATCTTGAAACGTATGCCCCATGTATAAGGGGGGACGATTGGATGTCCAGGCTGTGTGTGGTGAGTTGAATTTAATAATCCCACTGATAATCCTGCCTGTGTTTTTGCAGGTTTAAACTACTGTTAGAGTCGTGCTCACTCTTCCAAATTTCCTGTGACCAAGCTTACTTCTGCCCGAGTTGGACCTTCTTTCTGGAGGTAAATGGATCACCATCAAGATGTCCCCCTTAGTCCCCTTCATGCTTGACGCTTAGCCATGACTTTATGGTTGGTTTTTTTTAAGGGGGCAAGCTTTTTGTTGTTGTTGTTGTTATATAATTAACATTACATTCAATTTGTAGTATGCCAAAAGATTATCTCTATCCCTAAAAGTTCTCCAGTTTCCACAGGAAAATGCTGTCTCTGGTTGCAAAAGCAATTTGTGAGATTTTGTGGGGAGGGGGGCAGTCAGTCACGGGGCTTGAACTCATGGCCTGGGTGCTTTCCCTGAGCGTTTGTGCTCAAGGCTAATGCTCTACTACTTTGAGCCACAGCACACTGGAGATAAGAGTCTCACAGACTTTCCTGTCCAAGCTGGCTTAGAACCGTGATCCTCAGATCTCAGCCTGCTGAGTAGCTAGGATTAGAAGCATGAGCCACTGGTGCCCTGCTTTGTGAGAAATATTATAATGAGTTATCATTCTGCCCTTCTTGCAGGAATCACTTAGGGGTAACAAGAATATGCATTGTTGCACATCTCTGACTGCACTTGCACACAGTGATGTTCCTTCAGGCCACAGACTGGGCACAGGTGGCTCATGCCTGAAGTTCAAAGCAGAAAAGTCCATGAAACTAATCTCCAACTAACCATCGGAAAGCTCAAGTATTGGAGTGCCAGCTGTGAACCAGTAATGCCTAGTTGAGTGCATGAGACCCTGAGTTTAATCCCCAGTATGGAGAGAGAGAGAGAGAGACAGAGAGAGAGAGAGAGAGAGGGAGGGAGGGAGGGGGAAGGAAGGAAGGAAGAAAAGAAAGAAAGAAGAAAGGTTGTAAGATTTTTGCTCCTCTTTATATCTCTATAAATAGGTCACTGGTTTTTGGCTCTACTGTACATTAGAGTTACCTAGAGAGCCTTTAATAAATGTTTACACCTGCTCACACTAGACAGAAGCACTATGTTTAATGGTGGAATGACAGGCAGTATTGAGTGGGGTTGGGTTGTCTTCTTTCTGATTTTTAAGAATTATTCATGTATTCTGAATATCTTGCCCTTATCAGATATATGATTTGCAATTTTTTTTGTGTGTGTGTGGGGGGGTCCGGTCATGGGACCTGAACTCTGGGCTTGGGTGCTGTCCCTCAGCTCTTCAGCTCAAGGCTAGCGCTCTACCACTTGAGTCACAGCGCCACTTCCGGCTTTTTCTTTTTGCTTATGTGGTGCTGAGGAATCGAACCCAGGGCCTCACGCATGCAGGCAAGAGCTCTACCACTGAGCCACCTTCCCAGCCCATGATTTACAAATTTTTTCTCCCATTGTATAGCTGTCATTTTTCTTTTTTCCTTTCCTCTTTCTTTCCCTCCCTCCCTCCCTCCCTCCTTTCTTTTCTTTTCTTTTCTTTTTATTATTATTATTATTTTTTTCGGTCGTGGGGCCTGAACTCTGGGTCTGGGCGCTGTCCCTCAGCACTTCAGTTCAAGGCTAGCGCTCTACCACTAGAGCCACAGCGCCACTTCTGACTTTTTCTGCTTATGTGGTGCTGAGGAATCCAACCCAGGGCCTCATACATGCAAGACAAGCTCTACTACTGAGCCACCTTCCCAGCCCCTTTCCCTTTCCTTTTCCCTTTTCCTTTCCTTTCTCTCCCTCCCTCCCCACTTCCTTCCTTCCTTTTTCTTTCCTTCCTTTCCTTTTTTTTCCTTCCCTCCCTCTCTTCCTTCTTCCCTTCCTCCCTCCCTCCCTCTCTTCCTTCCTTCCTTCCTTCCTTTCTTCCTTCCTTCCTTCCTTCCTTTCTTATTTTCTTTGTACTAGGCATTGAACCCAGGACATCTGTAAGAAGGGCTCTACCACTGAACTACATACACCCTTTACCAAAGATACATATTTTTTTTAAGAGAATTTTCATCAAATTCTGAACCTGAAATGAAGATTCTAAATTTTATTTGAACCCTGAAGTGAGGGCCATGCAGTCTTTAAAAACAAAATAAAACAAATCACTGAGTAAGAGCAAAAGGAGTTCTGGGGAGTGATCTGCTGGGATAGGAGGCACTCTCCTGTGTGTGTGACAGTTTAGGGCCTCTGCCCTAGACACATGACTGTCATCTCTACCCTACAGGTGGCAGCATCTTCCTACTGAACACGGCTACCACTTAGTGCTTAGCAAGGTTTAGAAACACTTTGAGAATGAAATATATAAGAAGACCTTCAGGAAGGAGGGAAGAGACAAGGGCTGGACAACTCCCAGTACTACCAAAGCAAATAAACAAAACAGCCCAGTAGAAGACAATATCAACCTTACATTTTGTCTTCTTTTCTTGTGCGGGGCCCGGGCTTGCACTCAGGGCCTTGGCACTGTTCCTGAGATTTTTTTGCTCAAGGCTAGTGCTCTACCACTTGAGCCACAGATCCACGTCCAGCTTTTTGGTAGTCAATTGGAGATAAAGTTTCCTGGACTTTCCTGCCTCAGCTGGTTTCAAACTGCAGTCCTCAGATCTCAGCCTCCAGAGTCACTAGGGTTGCAGGCCTGAGCCATCAGTGCCCAGGAGGCTTTTTTCTTCCTCATGAAAAGAACTATTATCTAATTTCTTTTCTTTTCTTTTCTTTTTGGTTGTTGTTGGTCTTTGTACCTGAACTCTGGGCCTTGGTGCTATCCCTCAGCTCTTCAGCTGAAGGCTAGCGCTATACCACTTGGGCCATAGTGCCACTTCCAGCTCTTTCTGCTTATGTGGTGCTGAGGAATTGAACCCAGGGCCTTATGCATGCAAGGCAAGCACTCTACCACTGAGCCACCTTCCCAGCCCCTATCTAATTTCATTGTACAAATTATGCTGAGAGAACTCTACTCTGCTGCTTAAGTTTAATCCTTTTATCTGAAGCCATTGTGAGTCAATCTTCATTAACTAAAAAGTATTACAGTTCACAAATTGAATAATGAAATTAATGTCCATCTTGGGTCCTTTAAATACACAATACAAATAAAATGCCCTTTATTGTCTAAAATTGTGGGAAGGCTCTGGGCGTACAAGCTGCAAGGGCCATGTGAAGAGCTTGGTATTGTCTGAAGTTCTTGCTCTGGCCAGAAGCAAAGCTTCTCAACATGTTTCTCACAGTAAATCTTACCTTCCCAGATCAATTTTTCCTTTTGGTTGTTGAAAGATATCTGGTGTAATTGCAAGAAAATAAGTGGTCAGTATCATTATCTACATTCCACTCTTTTTTTTTTTTTTGAGTAAATGACCAGTAGCAGATCTCTAATTGGCCTTAGAAATCTTTTTGGGTGCCATTAGTACTTCAGAATCTCAAGGATTTATTATGAACCAAACCAGTGCTCCTCAAAGTGTTCAGGAGGCCAGTACCCGTGGATAAACTGTTTCTAGTACACAGTTACACAGATAAGTAACATTTAAAAACTTACACATAAGTTTGGCATGGTGGTGCATTGCTGTAGTCCCACCTGAGGCAGAAGGATTGTTTTAGCTCTTCAGTTTGAGAGCAGTCTGTACAACATAGTGAAACACTACCTCAAACACACACACAATAAATAGTAATAAATCTGTACATGTGGAAGTGGCATTGTGGCTCAAGCAGTAGAGTGCTTGCCTTGAGCTGAAGAGTGCAGGGACAGTACCCAGGCCCAGAGTTCAAGCCCCACGATCAACCAAAATCTGTACATGAAACCGTTTTATATTCTCGCAACATACCCACTGTGTGATTCTCCCTGAGGAGGTAGAGAGACCTTGCTGTAAAGGAAGTAGCTTTGGGGAGAAAGTACTCTAAAGAAGTCAGCTTTCTCTTTTCATTTGTATTCTCTCTCAGGGATTTTGTGTTGGAAGACATGGATCTTGCTGCTAATGAAATCAGCATTTATGACAAACTTTCAGAGACGGTTGATTTGGTGAGACAGACAGGCCATCAATGTGGTATGTCTGAGAAAGCCATTGAAAAATTTATCAGACAGCTGCTGGAAAAGAATGAACCTCAGCGGGGTCCACCCCAGTATCCTCTTTTGATTGCTGTGTATAAGGTAAAGCACTTACAGCACAAACTCCACTGTTTACACATCCCACCACAGAACCTTGGGTTTTCTGCACATGAATCCGCCTTTGCAGGACTGGGAATGTGGATTAGTGGTAGAGTGCTTGCCAAGCATGCATAAAGCCTGCATTTGATTCCTCAGTACCACATAAACAGAAAAATCCAGAAGTGGGTTGGGAAGATGGCTCAGTGGTAGAGCGCTTGCCTTGCATGCCTGAGGCCCTGGGTTCGATTCCTCAGCACCACATAAGCAAAAAGAAAAAAAGCC